AGTGGGATTGGGTGCTGGGTTAAATCTGGGCTCCTCCGATTGCCCTTTTGCTCAACCTAACTCTTGTTCTTTCTAAGAAACGATGTAGGCTGGGTGGTTTTGCCTTGATAAGAAAAATAAGGCAGCTGACTTAAGGCTGGGGGAGTTTCAGGTTCATTCCTTGAAAAGATTGAACGTCTGTTGAAAGGGGAGGGTTAAAGTCATCTGGAGAGCAATGAAAGGAGAAGATAGGAAGCACCAACGATCCGCCCACTGCCATGATTTGGGGGAAAGAAAAACAGAAGTACCCAAAGTAGACCCACCTACAGGATCTGGCTGGCTAAGAAAAGATTAGCAATAAAGACACAACTCTGATGCTCATTACTCCTAGAGAGGAAAAGGAATATTCCAGAAGCCTCAGAGACTTCCTCTGGGTCCATTGCTGTACGTGCAGCTAAGGGTTTGTAGGTGTCCAAAAAGTACATGATTTTCTGCAGTTTCTTTGAACTCTATTTTATTTCATCTCTAAGCACTTCATTCATGTTCATTGAAGTAACTATAGAGTAGAGAGCATGGAAATATCCTAACCATGAGTATTTTACAAGGAGTTGCTTCATAGGTCAGTTAATTCAGGTTCAAACACATGAAATCCCCTTTTAGTGTGAAATCACTTACTAATGCCTATAGCTTCACCTTTCTCACAGTCTGAAATATTACTAATAATATTTAATGTTACTATTACAATCCTCTCAGGGACCTTTTAAGCTAGACAGTGCTATTATTTTTATTATTGTTGTTATTATTTTCAGAACAGGAAATTAAGGCTTATTAGCTAGCCTAAGATTAGATCTTTAGCTCACCATTGATATCCAAGGCTGCCTCCTTTTGTACCTTAAGCATCATTATTCGCTAATTTAAGAGTTATCTTGCTGTATTTCTTCCACTTACATTTGGACATGCCTATGTTTTATGCTGACTGTTACATGCATGTACATGGCCAAACTAAACTGTGCTTTCCAGTAATGGGCCCACAGCCTCTGTTCTCTCAAAAGACAACAACAAAAACAATCACTCCCATGAGTCAATCCCAACTCAGGGCGACCCGATAGGACCGAGTAGAACTGCCCCTGTGGGTTTCTGAGACTAACTCTTTATGGGAGTACAAGCCTCATCTTCAGCCCGCAGAGGGACTGATGGTTTCAAACTGGACTTGAGATTAGGAGTGGCCTACATGTAACCCAGAGCTTCTCTGTTCTACTCCGATTTCCAACTCAGAAGCCAAGGGTCAGGTGTGTTTTGTTCCCGGCCCAGGATGAATGCTAAACACTTGGAGTCTACCTCTAAATCAGGCCCAGAGACTAGCATGAGACTCCAACACAGGTATCTGTGCCTGTGCTGATTGCTAAGTGTTCGAGACCTTTATGCGACAGATGCTTGCAATCAGCCGTGGTAGGCTTTGCACTACAGAGAGCTAATTCTCTAGTCAGATGTTTGGCCTTCTTCTTCCTAAAGGAAGAGAGGAGAGATCCGTGAGTTTCGGCCTCTATTTTCTGTTAAATAGGAGCTCTGATCAAATGCTCAGAAAGAGGGCAAAGCGGGTAAGGTGCCTGACTTGAAAGGAGTACAAACATTTTGGAATCGCTGCAGAGAAAACTAGGAAAGAGTAGACACAGACGAGTCTTATGACTGTTATATGTATACAGTGAACCCTCGTTTATCGCGGTTAATTGGTTCTAGACCCTACCGTGATAAATGAAATTCCGCGAAGTAGGATTCCTTATTTGTAAATCAAATATTTTCATAGTTAGAGCATAGAGGACATGAAAAAACACCCTTTAGTCACCATTACACTCGTATTACCCAATTTATTAAACAAAAAAGGGAAAATACAGTAAAACATTTTGGACGTTACAATTATCATTTATTATATTATTTATGGCATCTAGTTTACAGTATTACATATTTCACATACAGTATTATTATACATAGTTCTTGCAAATACTGTAATCAATGGCGTGTAACCTCCACGATTTTCTTGCCATCTTTGATTATATCCAAAAGTTTTACCTTTTCCTGGATGGTGAGCATCTTCCTCTGGTGCTTATTTTTATTGTCAGAAGGCTTAGAAGAAGCAGCTCGTTTAGGAGCCATCATAGGGCTTAGATAAAATTTCTTAAAAATCGCAAACCATTACAGTACACTGTACAAAAGCAAAAATGCATCTGATACGTAGCCCCCATACGTAGCAATGCAGACAGAAGCGTGTACAGTATGAACCAATCAGTGGCAGTAATGACAGAGCATGCGCTGTTACGCAAAAACCGCGATAGAGTGAAGCCGTGGAAGTCGAAGCGCGAAGTGGCGAGGGTTCACTGTATACATAATTGTTGGGAAGACAATACTAAAATTGCAAACTAACCCAAAACTCCAGGCTCATTGCTATGCAGTCAGTGCTGACTCATAGCCACCCCTCCCTGCTGGTTTCCGAGACTGGCACCGTTGATGCGAGTAGAAAGTGCCGTCTGTCCCCCACAGGGCTGCTGGTGGTTTCAAACTGCCGACCATGCAGAAAGCAGCATGAGGAACCAGTACAAGACTGGGCTCCTAAAACTGAAAACCGTCCACATATAAGAGCGGTGAAGTTGTGAATGAAGATTCCCCTTGAAATGTCAATGTTTTCAGCCATACATAAAATTACCGAAGAATGAAGGGTTTTAGTCCGTTGATTGGATCATTAATTATTGTGGAAGGAAACCATGAGGAATTAGTTTGCGTCTGCCTAAGGTTTTATCTTCTTGACGTTTTGTTGTGCATAATTGTATTCTTTGATCTATCAATTAAGCATTTCGAAAAATAATAATGATACATTCATAACAGTTCGACATGTATTATATGTTACCAAGGGCTTTCACTGCACCTAATCTCTTTTGATCTCCTCTTTTGCTGATCTGGACTCATATAAATGCAAATTATAGGTTATCTCTGATGACTTCGAGATAAACAGAAGAAGGCTGCAGGAAAATAATAAAACCAAAGAGCTTGAAATTCATGACAAATTGGAACTATTTAATAAATAGTTTGATTTGAAAATTAAATTGAGAGATGTGAGTTGGATAATAATAGGACAATAGAAAGTATTTGTAGATTAGTTACAAAAATATATTTATGATTTGTTTCTATCTTTGAGTGAGACAAACTAAAATGAATCATTTCCTTCCCTTCAAATAAAAATGTGAAAGTAGAAATAACGAAGCTGTAGATGTTTCTTAGGAATAAAAGATGAAAGGCTTAAATATAATTATCTTTTAACCTGCTCTCCCTAGATTGGAAATTTTGCAGCTAACAAAAGTGATTACTTTTACTTCAACATCTTGACCAGAGGTGATGAATTTCAAAGCTAATTTTCAAGTTTTCCTAATTATTATAATTTTTAAATATCCAAGAGTCAGTTTTAAGCACAACTTTGGTTCGATAGACATCATATTAGTTTTCAAGACACTACGGAGGGGAGGCTAACATTTTAAAGATGACTTTAATCCACTGAACATGTTCAAGATGACGTTTAGATCACGTTCAAGTAACTTCTGCCAGCCTCCAGGGTCCTTTTCCTTTCATGAATATTACAATTAAAAAGAAACAAACAAACAAGCAAGCTCACTGCCAGTGAGTCATTGCTGAATCATAATGACCCTATAGGACAGGGCAGATCTGCCTCTCTGGGTTTCTGAAACTTTACAGAAGCAAAGATGTTTGCCTTTCTGCAGGCTAGGTTATCCGCATATTGCAGGATGCTAACGAGGCTTCCTCCAGTTCTAAAGCTGTATTTGTCTTCATATGAACTTCTCAGGTCATTTGCTCAGTATACAGATTGGGGTTGAGAAGCCAGCATTTAAAAAAAAATCATTTTATTGGGGGGCTCATCCAATTCTTTTCACCATCCATGCATCCATCTATTGTGTCAAGCACATTTGTACATTTGTTGCCATCATCATCCCCAAAACATTTGCTTTCTACTTGAGCCCTTAATATCAGCTCCTCATTTCCCCCCCTCCCTCCCCCTCCCTCATGAACACTTCATAATTCTCATACATTATTATTTTGTCATATCTTACACTGCACACATTTTGGGTCACAAGGATTACAAACCCAAACGACCAGAAAGTTGAAACCAGGTAGAGGAAGTGAAATCACAGATTAACGTGGACTCTCGGTGCCAAGTGAGAGCCGTCTATCACAACTATGGGTATGTCACAGGAGGAAAGTTTACGTCTGTCATTCTTCTCCGGTGCTTTAGAAACCCTGCCTGATGGGAGGTCTCTCTCGCTCTCCCGTTTTCCCTCCCTTCCCCCTTCCCTCTCTCTCTTTTTACTAACAACATAATAATTTTAATTCAAATAAAATCTTACCCTCGGTTTTCTTAGTTGCCATTGAATCTTTTCTGGGTCATAGCTACCTTATATTTCCATATAAAGCAATCTATCATATCAGAAAACCCTGGTTTTTTTATCATATTGGAAACATTTAAACCATGTAATTAAAAAATCCATCAATAAAAATAATTGGTACTTTAAAGAGACACAAACATTTGAAACACTAATTTCCAAAAGACACTGGCATTTCTATCCAATAGATTTCTTTATTTTCTGTTTGATTAGACATTAGTAAATGGGAACAATAATACTTTTGATTATACAGATGCCTTTGTTGTTGTTTAAGTTCCTTTTTGAAAATTCAAAGTAAACTGTACTATTCCCAATTTAGTCCAACAGTAAAGGTAAGAAAACTGGGAATCTTGGTGGTCAAATTACTTGCCCAATCACAAAAGGGGTGGCCGATATTTCTGCATCAGTAGGGCAGTGCCTCATTCCACTGAACACCAACAAAACAGACACTCGGACTCTTCAGAATACAATCATTCATTCAATGTCAGTGTCCTCCTTCTTCTCCATCCCTTGGACCATCAAAAAGTCACTGCGCATCAGTTTACATTACCAAGGTTGTTTGTTTGTTTTCCATTGTAGGAGCAGCGGAAAAGAGTTCTAAGCATGGTGCTGAAGACAAGACTCAGACCATTATTACGGCCATGAAAGAGCGGATGAAGATCAGGGAGAAAAACAGGCCAGAAGTGTTTGAAGTCATTCAGGAAATGTTTCAGATTTCCAAAGAGGATTTTGGGCAATACACCAAAGCAGCCAAACAGAGTGTGCTAGATGGGACGTCTAAATGGTCAGCAAAAATAACTATTACAGGTAAAAATTTAAAAATTCTTCAAATATCTAATATCACTTTGAGATGTTTATCTGTCTTCATTAATTTAAATTAATACCAATCAATTATAGGCAAAATGAAAAGGAAAATTTTTCAATCTTGACAATATAATGCCAGAACTCTGTTTTAGTTGTTTTTTAAATTTTCTTTTTGGTACCAGAAGTCTTATTGGTACTTCCAAATTCTACACTGTATACCAAATAATTGAAATAATTTCAGGCAGGGTTTTGTTCAGATCAAAAGTTCTTCCAGAGAGAAAAGATTTCTCTTTTCAATTATATTCCCCAGTACCCCACCACGTACCAAAGATCAGCTTCCTTGCTGGCTGCCATTGAAAAATGGTAGGAGGGACCAAAATCATCTCGACTTGGGCTTTAAGAAAGCAAATCTCACTTCACTTGCTCCCACTCAGTACAGGCTCATTTATTTCATCTGAAGACAAGCAATTGGAGTTTTGTGCTGTATAGTAATTTGACCTTCTGAAGTTACTTATATTGTTAACCACAAATGCTTACATGTTCACTAGTTAACAAACTAATTGACTGTGCATATTGTATTTACAAGCCAACAAATGATGCTTCTTATACTGAGTTTAGTTGATCTATATTGAAAGCAAGCTCATAAATTAGTACATAAGTAATTCATAAATAAATTTTAAGTCACAGAAGATTTTTGCTTACTGTATGTGGATCTCAATTCATCTATACATGCGTACATTATTATATGTATGAATATATGGCTAATCTGTGTATCTATATATACAAATGCCTCTGTATATAAGCATAGCTAATATTTGTTAAGGACAAGAGTAAATGCTAGTCAAGTTTAGTGTATTCATTCTTTTATTTAAAAAATAAATTAAGGTCTATTGGGTAGCTTTGGTGGCAGTTCAAACCCACCAGCCACAATACCAAAGAAATTTGAGCCGTCGGCTTCTGTGAAGACTTACAACCTTGGGCACCCTGTGGAGCAGTTAGGGTTTGTCCGATGAGGTCACTATGAGTCAAAATCAACTCAATGGTAGGGAGTTGGGTGTTTAGTTGGCCTTGAGAATAAAACAAGGAGGATGTATCTTCAAGCCAAGAAGACATCCAGATAGAAAAAGGTGTTTTCATACTTCTATAGATCTTTTGTGTTCTGATTCCATTATCTTGCTTGGTTTGTTCCAGTGGTTTCTGCCCAAGGCTTACAAGCAAAAGACAAAACAGGGTCAAGTGACCCCTACGTGACCGTTCAAGTGGGGAAGAACAAAAGAAGGACCAAAACAATCTTTGGAAACTTAAATCCAGTATGGGATGAGAAGTTTCATTTGTGAGTATAGCACGGAAAACTACTATAGCTATGTAAAACTACTATAGCTACTGAAATAATTGAAATAAGTTACAGAAGGCAGACAAAGCATAGGAATAGGAATTGTCTCATTTATTTTAAAATCTCTTGTGCCCCCTTAGTACCTTAATAAAAATCATGATTTATTCCTCATCTTTGAAAGCAAGTGCATAAAAAGACATTGTGCCCCTTCAAAACAGACGGCATGTCAAACAACACTGACTTTGCTCTAAACTTGGAATGATCCCACACACCTAGAACTTGAACGACTTGAATTGGCAATAAGTTGTCATCTGCAGATGTATGTTGAATTTGGACATTACAAGATCCACGGCCTTGGGGCAGGACCACAGCTCTGGCAACCCAAAGGGATGAGGGGGTTTATGATAACTTCTGTGACCTTGCCGTTGCTATTGCCTTGTTAAACCTCTCACACCTGGCACTCAGCCGCAAGAAATCCCTCCCCTGTAAGAGTTCCTTTTGTTTCCAGAAATCCTTATACGTGGAGAGATAAAATGATGTCTACTTACTGTTTGGTACACATAAATGGAGTAGGCTTAAAGACAGGTCTTTTTTCTTCTGGTCTCTCTGATGGCTTACACATGGGGTTTTTTTGTGGTTTTTTTTTAATATGCTAAGTAAGCACCTCCAGCTTGCTTGAGAATGTGGACAAAAATAATAGGAATTACTGAAGTTTTTGTTGTTGTTGTTCTTGTGTGGTTGTTTGTTTTATGTATCTCCTGAAGAAAGGAATATTAAATCATTTTTAGAAAGTCGGTTGTAACCAAATAACAGAAGGAGCTGTGCAAAAAGGTAAAGAATTTAGATGGGTTCTCCTGTAGGTCGATTGGAAAGACAGCCCTAAGATCCCTTTGCCCCTTGGTTACAGAAAAGCAGGGGCTTTTGCAGAATCCAAATCACAAATGCAGAATCCAAATCAGGTCAGGTACATTAATAAAGCAGGATACGGGCCGCAGAGGGGACAGAGGACGAAGGAAAGCTATAGATCGAGTGACTCTCGGACGAGAGACTTCTGTTGCTGTGAAATCATGCAGATTCAGCACAGCTGGTAATTCCGATGCCTCAGGAGCAGCTGAAATTTGAACTTTTTAAATGACTGAGTTTTCAACATGTTCTGTATTTTTTGGTACTGTTTTGGTTTGTTCGTATGAGCGTGTATCTCCGGGGTGTTATGTCATCGGAGGTCACCCTCATGAAACTGTGTCATCTGCTTTTATGTGTGTGAAACCCAAGACTGATGAAGCTACAGCGACAACAAATAGAATGAGGGTTTCAGGGGTTGGGGTGGGGACTACCATGGGGTGGGGGGGAGTGAAAGGGAGATGATGTCAAAGAGCCCATGAAGAAAAAGCATGTTTGGGAACTGAGTGTAGTAGCAATTGACAATTCTACTCGATGTGATTGAACTATGGAATGATATGACATAAGTATTAACTCCCAATTAGTAAAGTTTTTAAGAATTTTTGAAAATGACTTTCTGAGGCAAAATTAGCATACGACAAGGAACCTAGATATTTAAAAGTATATACTTTGGTAGGGTTTTCTTTTTCCAAACCATTTTATTAGGAGTTAATCCAGACATCATGCCATTCCATAGTTCACGCATTCATATCAAGTACAATTGCTACCAACATCACTCAATGTGTTAGGTTTTGATATACATATACTCCTATACAATCACCAAAAATAATGGACAGATGCATCACCCCTAAGGGATTTCTTGTACAATCCCTCCCACGTCCTCCCACATTGAAGCAATCACCAGTCAGCTATCTCATGCTACAGAACAGGTGTTTTCTTTTGTTTTTTGAATTTTACAATGTACATAAATGGAATCTTGCACGATGCATTCTTTTCCCCGAGGACAATTACTTTGAAATGCGTCCATGCCCTCATTTATGAATACCACAGAATGGGCGCACATTGCTGAACGTTTAGGTCGTTTCTCATTTCTGAGTATTAAAAACAACATTCTTCACAACAGTGTGTTCCCATTTTTATATGGATCTACGTTTTCATTTCTTTGGGACCATTACATAGTAGTTATGGATAGAGCACTCAGGACCATCGTGTTTAGACTCATTAGGACTCCGTAGGACAGAGTAGAGCCGTGCCTGTTGGACGCTGGGCTGTAACTCAGGTGCTAACCTTGAGGGCAGAGAACAGTTTGTGGGGCTGGGGACTTTGGCTGTGGCAATGGAAAAAACACAAGCAAAAACGGAACTAAATTTAGATTGTGTGAGCTGAGAGAAACCCCCACCCACTATTATGAGACTCTTTCCAAATGGAAAGGCTCTGCTGGGGAGAGCGGGGTGGAGACAGAAGAGGCAAAAGGAGCGCTTCCCATCAAAGTGGAACGTAAACAATTGTCAAGGACACAATGACGGCAGCAGCAGGAGCTGAAAGTGGACGCAGAAACTGCTGCACGTTTTCGAGCCACTGTTACAAAGGTCTGCGAAAGCCGCTTCGTTTTTACCCAGTTGGGAGGGATTCAGAAAGCCAAAGGCAGAGGTAACCCAGAGAACTCGAGTTGAAAGTGGCACCAGACAAAGGCAGAGTAAATCAATCAAAATGACTGACAAGAAGCCAGGAACCTGGGGCCAATCATTCATAATTAAGTAAAACAGTTACAGTGGAAAACAAAAGGATGAATTAAAAACGGAGAGGTTTTAAACTGACTTTATGTTGCAAAGGAAAAAAGGTTGTACCTTGTGAGTACCTGTATTTTAGAAATATATGTTGTCTTATAGGCAGGGGGAGCATCGCTTGTTTGTTATGTGTAAGTAGAAGATATGGAAGTCTAACCTTTGGGCCAGATACACTGAAGGGTGAATTAAGATTTACTGGGAAACCTGCAGGTGGTTGTTTCAATACAATAACCTTCTCTGAAGAGCAGGTGAAGGCACTCAGATGGGGCCCTGCTTAAAAACCTAGCTGTTAACCTCAAGGTCAGCAGTTGGCCCAGCCAAAGAAAGCAGTGTTGAGAAGTTGCTAACTCATCCCCTGGTGATGAGGCTTGATTGTTTGCATATCATTCGCTGCCATATAAGATGCTGGCTAAGTGGACCTACCTGGCCCGGGGTAGAGCTTCTCTGGGTGGACTTCCATTGCGTCTTTCAGCCCCAAAACAACACGTAGAGGACTTGCCTGGGTGACTTACGTTCATCCATTTGGACAGCTTCTCGACGCCAGGGGATACCGGCATGTCGAGACTCTCCCATTCAAATCCTTCATCCCTGAGGATCCCTGATGGCCCTTAGGGTTAAGCATGGCGGCTAACCTGTGTGGTCAACCTTAAGGTCAGTGTTTTCCCAGCTGCTCTGGGGGAAGAAGATGGGGCTGTCTGCTCCTGTGAAAAATGTAGTCTCCGAAATCCTATATAGGGTTGCTATGAGTCAAATCAACTTGTGGATTGTGTGTTTTCCATGTGTGCCTGGGCTCTTGTGTGAAAAATATGATGTTTATAGAACAATACAGATTAATTACTGATGCTTTTGGTCTAATGGTCTCCTTACTATCTAGAAACGGGTGCAAGCTATGAGCAGCAAGAGGTTCGGGTGTGTTGTCTTACAGTGGCCTTTATCTAGTTGTGAATAAATAAAAACTCACTGCATCATGTTCATTCTGACCCACAGCAACCATAGGACAGGATTCAACAATCCCCTGTGGGTTTCCAAGACTAATCTGTAACTGCACAAGGAGTAGAAAGCGTGGTCTTTCTCCAGCTGTTCTGTTAGGGTAGCTGCAAGTCAAAATCTACTTGAAAACAGTGTTTTGACTTCTCTACCACCCCCTCCCCACCAATAGGGATTGTTCTGGAATTATGTCAAGATAATCTATCTACAAGTCTTGTATAGGGTTGCTGTGAGTCAGAAGTTCAAGAGACTTGGGGGCGGGGTGGGGGGGGGGGGGAAGATAGGGCTTTCTACTGCTGTAAAGGGTCTAGACTCAGAAATTCACATGGCAGTTCTATCCTGCCCCAAAGGGTCACTCTGAGTTGGCATCAACGAGAGGGCAGTGAAGGAGAGTCAGAATTGACTTGGTGGTTGTGTTTTGTTGTTGTTTTATGGTATTGTATAGTTTTTTTTACATTATAGTGAATTGCACTTTTGGAATTTTGGAAGATAAAATCTTGTACTCATATTTCAGGAATAAACCCCACTTGTTTTATCCTTTATTCATATTTTTAAATTCAGGGTCTGAAAACTTTTATGTTTATAATTTTGGCATCTAATTCTGAAACAATTCAACAGCGGTGGGTTTACGTTTTCAGTTTTTGTAATTATTTTTTTCTGAGTTTGATATTAAGGTAACAATGGTTATAGAACGAGTTGAAATTTATTTTCAGTTACTGAAAGACTTGTGTGGGACTGATACTATTTTCTAAAATGTTTCGAAGAATTCACTAGTGAATCCATTTGGGCCTGCAATTTCTTTGTTGGGAAAAAAAATCAAATTCTACGTACCTCTCATAGTTTTTTGCCTTTTAATGTAATTTATCCATGTAATCTAAGAGTGGTAGATTTTACTTTAAAAGTTAATGTTTTATTGGCCTTTTAATAATTGGAGAAATTATAGTGATTGTAGCAATGCGCCTTCTTTTTTTTCTGCTCTAGGAAATTGTTTATGTGTGGGGGTATGGACTTTCCTAGTTAAGGATTTGCCAATCTCGCCGATCTCAAACACCTGATCTTGCTTTCACTTATTTCCTCCATGCTCTTTTGGTTCCTATTTCTTCAGGTTTTTCAATTTATTTTGCATGCAGATGGTTGTTCTATATCCTTCCGTAGGAGCTACAGTCATTCAGTACTTTCTTTTATAAGTAATCATTTTTATTGGGGGCTCTTACAGCTCTTAGAACAAGCTACACATCAATTGTGTCAAACACATGGTACAGATGTTGTCATCGTCATTTTCAAAATATTTTCTTTCTGCTTGAGCCCTTTGTATTAGCGCCTCTT